TTCTGTAGGCCCCAATGGCATAGCTTCCCTATTCACCTGAGCTGGGCAATCCGGGTGTGCCCCCCCATCCCATGTGGGCTGTGTATACCCTTCTGCTGTAGCTAAGCCTTGATTACTGTTGGTATGTCAACAGAAAAGATATATCCCCAGGCTGATATTCTCCAAGGATTGGCTATGACCACCAAGAAGGAACATCTGTGCAAGGGTCCACCCCCCAGAGCAGAACTTACGTCAGCAGGACTCTGGTGCCATTGAGTACCCCTTTGAGTGTGTCACTTGTGGAGGTGGTTCGATGGTGCTTCAGTGTGACCTGAAGCTGTCCATTATGTGTGCTGGCTCTGGGGCCTCCCAGGAGGTGAAGGCCAATGTCGCTGGTTCTGTTTTGTCTGGGGCCACCTGGCATGAGCTACAAAGCAATCCGCAGATGGCTGCTACTTGTGCTTGGATTGGAGGTGCCCACGTGAGGCCAAGCTGTGAATCAAGGCTGGCTACAACTAGTGCCAGGCCTGGGGCCACTTAGCAAGAAGTATGGGGCACTCTGAGGCCAGATGCTGCTTGTTTAAGATATTTTAGAAAATTCTGAAACATGAGCCAAGATAGGCCATTCATATGGAAAAACCACTGGAAATAGCTTGGGTGGGCCTGCAAGTTGATCATGGGGTCAGGAGTCTCAGGGAATGACCAGTGCAGGGTGAAGTGATGATTGTTCTGTAGTTTATACCATCACATTGTAGGGTAGGGTTCAACATATGAATTTGAGGGAACATAAATATCTGTCCATAACACCATAGTAACATGGTGATCAAAGGTAACACCACCTGTAATTGAATAAACCAAAATCATGTGCCACCCAATGAGGTGCCATGAAAAGAATATGGCGTCACTATATTCCTGCCACAGATACATAATAACTGTTAGATCCCAAGGGAGGAATGTATGAGGCCAAAGTGATGCAGGAACAGAATTATATTCAGGACATCTGTAAAGCAGATGGGCTGAGTCCAAAATGGCATCAGCCCCAAACTGGCCAGGGCTTGCTGCTTATAAAGAGCTTTGGGCAAACTTTCTTTTGGCAGGCACTTTAGGGTATGTACAGGAACAAAGACCAGGCAAACAAGATGGTAGTTTCTCAACCGAAACTACCAAGGGTCAGGTTCCTATACCAGTAAGGGATGGGCAGTGAAAAATGACAGATCATATCTACAGAGGCACTCCTATGGCAGGGTGCTCTCTGGCCTAACAATAACTAAAGATTCATCAAATGAAGAAACATCAGAACATCCTACAAAACAACTGGTCTAGTAATTTTCAAATGTGTTGAGGTCTTAAAAGTCAAGGAGAGACAGAAATTATTTCAAATTGAAATAGACTAAAAAGACATGACAACTCCATACACTATGTGACACTGACCCAGATCCTTTTGTTATAAAGGACACAATTGGAGCAATGGGTTATTCTGAAATGGGGTTTGCAGATTGGGTGTGTGGATAAAAAGGGGCCACATGCTAACCTGACAAGCTTAGGGAAGGCCTGAGTGGTGGCCTTGCAAACTCAGAGACCTAAAGTAACCGCAAAGGATGGTCTGAAATTAAAACTTTTTAACTAAAAGCAGTTTATGTCAGGTAGTCATGTCCTAGGCTAGAATCTTCCCTGATAAAAGTCAATCTTTACCTTAATTGAGCCTATTATTGTCTTTTGCATCTACAGTAACATATAGTAATATACCTTTGAAATATCATGGTAACTTCCCTTAGGCCCCTCAGGCACAACCAATGCACAGCCAGAGCAGAGAGAAAAGAAAACCTATAGATAGGTTGCCTCCTGCATGTCCTAGTGCCCTGACTGGGAATTGAACCTTCGACCTTTTGGTGCAAAGGACGATGCTCAGTTATTTTACTTTTTATCCAACCCCAGAGATTTCCCCACTTTGCTTTCTCCTGCCTCCCTAATCTATCACCAGTGAACTTCATGTAACCCACTTGTTTTCTCTTTTTATTCTAATGTATAATTACACTGCCATTCTCTGGAGCATTATCTCAATCTGTTGAGATTCTGCTTCCTGGCAAATAAACTCACAAAAATTCTTCACATTTTGAATATTTCTTAAGTTGACAGGTAGTAGTAACATAATATCAATTTCCTGATTTCAAGGGTTTTATTGTGGTTGTGCAGGGAAATGTCCTCATTATAAGAAATACTTGCTAAAGTGTTAAGAGGTAATGGGGCATCAGGTCAGCAATATAGTGTACTCTCAAATTATTCAAAAAAATAGTTTTTTATAATATATTCAGCTTTCCTATAAACTTGAGATTGCTAAAAATAAACCAAAAAGAAAAAGAAAGAAGAAACTAAAGAAAGCCAGATTTTAAATTCAAGTTTTTTTAATTAAAAATTAAAAACTGGAGGAAGAAATGTTTCTAACTCCTGGACCTAAACTGGAAGTGTTGAGACTTAATGATCAGTGGTGATAAATTCCCCCTGAGAAAAGGGTCAGAGGTCATTGTGCTTGCAGCTCTGAGTGAGAGAGGGTTTTCTAAACCTGAGTGCTAGGTGGCTCCCCACAAGCCCACACACAGCTGTCCACAGGAATGGCTCTTTTCTGCACATTTTAGCAGTTCACAGCTATGAGGAGCCTGGTAATTATAGTCCACTGTTCACTGACTTAGAGGAAAGAGTGGGAAGAAGATTGCCTGCTGGGAGATCCCCATGATATCCCCTCTTTAAACAACTGCTTTTCCAAATAAATGTTGGAGGGGCTGAGTGAGAGGAATGGACTGACCAGCTGGCTTAGCTGCTTCAGGCCCACACAAATGCTCTTCCTTCATGTGAAATGGGTATATTATACTTCATTCATCCATTCTTCAGTTGATGGATATTTGGGTTTTCCCTCCACCTTTGTTTTTAGTATTATGAGTAATTCTGCTATGAACATTAAGGTACAAATCATAAGTTTTCAATTCTTTTGGGTATATACCCAGGAGGGAATTGATTGATTATAGGGTAATTCTATTTTTAAATTTTTGAGGAACTGACAAATTTTTCAGAGAAGATGCACACATTTTTACATTCCTACCAACAAAGGATTCCCATTTCTCCATATCTTCACTAACACTTATAATAGCCATCCCAGTGGGTATGACATAGTAAATCATTGAAGTTTTGATTTGGATTTCCCTAATGACTAATGATATTAAGCATCTTTTTTATCCACTATTGGTCATTTTTATGGAAACAGAAATGTTCTTTGGGAAAATGTTTAAATACTTTGACCATTTTTTAATTCAGCTAATAGTGTTTTTATTATTGAATTATAAAATTCCTTTGTATATTCTGGATACTAAATCCTTATCAGATATATGATTTGCAAATATTTTCCCCCATTCTGTGGGTTAATTCTTCAATTTCTTATAGTGTCCTTTATCACACAAAAGTTTTAAATTTTGATGAAATCTAATTTATCTAGTTTTTCTTTGGTTGTTTATGCTTTTGGTGTCCTATCTAAAAATTTTTTACCTAATTCCAGGTCATAATGATTTACCCCTATATTTTTTCTTAGAGTTTGATACTTGTAGTTCTTACATTTAAGTTTTTAATCTATTTTGAGTTAATTTCATAAATGATGTGACATTGGGGTCCTAATGCATTGTTTTGCATGTGGATATCCAGTTGTCCTAACACCATTTGTTGAGAAGACTCTTATTTCCCCCTTAAATGATCTTGTCAAAAGCTAACATAACATAAAATGTAAGAGTTTAGCCCTGGTTGGTTTTGCTCAGTGGTTAGAGCGTCAGCCTGCAGTCCAGAGAGACCCGGGTTCGGTTCCCGCTAGGGGCGCGTACCTTGGTTGCAGTTTGTCCCCAGCCTTGGTTGGTCATGCAGGTGGCAGCCACTCGATGTGTCCCTTTCACGTCAATGTTTCTCTCTGTCTCTCTGTCTCTCTCTCTCTGTGTCTCTCTCTTTCTCTCTCTCTCTCTCTTCCTCTCTCTCCCTCCCACTCTATCTGAACAAAAAATGGGAAAAAAATGTCCTCAAGTGAGGATTAAGAAAAAAAATTGTAAGAGTTTATTTCTGAATTCTCAAGTCTATTCCATTGATCTGATGTCTATCCTTATGCCAGCAGCACACTGTCTTGATTACTATAGTTTTCTAATAATGTTTAAAATCAGAAAGTATGAGTCCTCCATTGCTTTGGGAAGTATTGCCACATTATTATTTTTCATTTATCCTCATGCGAGGACATTTTCCCACTTTTTATTCAGATAGAGCGGGAGGGAGAGAGAGAGAGAGAGAACCATCGACGTGAAAGGGACACATCGAGTGGCTGCCACCCACACAACCCAATCAGAGCTGGGGACAAACTCCAACTGAAGTACATGCCCTTAGCAGGAACTGAACCCGGGTCTCTCTGGACCGCAGGTCGATGCTCTAACCACTGAGCCGAACTGGCCAGGGCAAGTATTGCCATATTAAAAATATCAAGTCTTCCATGAACATGGGATGCTTTCCCTTTTGTTCTGTAGTTTTCAGAGTACAAGTTTTTAACTGCCTTGGTTAAATTTATTCCTAAGTCTATTATTATTTTTATGCTTTTATAAATGAAACTGTTTTGCCCTGGCCGGTTTTGCTCAATGGTTAGAGTGTCGGCCTGCGGTCCAGAGATTCCCAGGTTCAGTTCCCGCTAAGGGCACATATCTCGGTTGCAGTTTGTCCCCGGCCCTGGTGGGGTCGTGCGGGTGGCAGCCACTCGATGTGTACCTTTCATGTCAATGTTTCTCTCTCTCTCTCTTCCTCCCTCTGCCTCCCACTCTATCTGAACAAAAAAATGTCCTCAGGTGAGGATAAAATCAATAAATAAAATAAAACTGTTTTCTTAATTTCATTTTGTAATTTATTTTTAAATCACAGACATACTTCAGAATACACACACATTTGTTGAATGCAAAATTCTTTGTATATAAAACTGCATGTTTATTAAATATTAAATATATATATTCTTATTACAGGCGAGAATGTAAAAATAGTGACCCACTACCACAAATTATGCAGTCGAGTTTCCCACATTTGGGGAAATCGCAAGGGTCAGCACATCTGGAGTGCAACAGACAAGCCTCACCCTGGAAAAACCACCCTCTAGACAAGCAGTTCTCAACCTGTGGGTCGCGACCCCTTTGGGGGTCAAAAGACCCTTCCACAGGTGTCTCCAAAGACCATCGAAAAACACATATTTCCAATGGCGATTCATAACAGTAGCAAAGCTACAGTTATGAAGTAGCAACAAAAATAATTTTATGGTTGGGGGTCACCACAACATGAGGAACTGTATTAAAGGGTCACGGAATTAGGAAGGTTGAGAACCACTGCTCTAGACCATAGCATCTCCCCTGCCAGGTAAGTATCTATTGAACTAAGTTTAATTTATCTGTTTTTACTTGCCTTTTTATCTAATAGACTGGTCATTCTAAGCAAGATATATTAAAATCTCTTATTATTGGCACCATGTTGACAGTCTTTGAAGCTCGGGATCAATGACTATACTAGTCTTTCCTCTTTTATGTATGTTTGGAAATTTCCATTAAAAGTTTATTTCTTAAATATCCAACTACAATCACATTTTTATCATATACTTTTTGCATTTCTAATCATTTTTGCGTTATATGTTTAGCTACTATGTTGTTTGGTAGATATAAATTTATACCAGATATATCTTTTTTTCATAAAGCCTGCCTTTATGAAAGGACCTTTCAATTTTGTTGTGTGATCAGATCTCATCAGAGAGATGGCAGCAGGCAGGACCACAGAGTGGATGAGTGTGTGAGAGAGTGTGAGTGGACATGAAGGTGGATGACCAAACCCAAGCAGTGCAGAGACATGGAGCAGAAGGTTCCTATGCTGTGGATAGGAGCAGCCAGCTACCGCGATAAGCAGCCCTTCAGGGCACTTTTCCCTGAGCAGCAAAGAGGTCCTACCATTTTGGAAGATCCCGGGTCTTCCCTGAGAGGAGGCAGTGGCAGCAGCTAGAGCCCAGCAACCTGAGCCCACCAGCGCACCTGGCACCATTGGACCAGTGGACACTCTGTGTCAACACAGACTGGTGCACAGTAGTGGAGCTCCCAAGCTGCTGGTCACAGAAGCTGCAGACAGCCTGGAGCCCAGCACCATCCCCCATAGTAGCAGCCTGACCAGAGTCCAGATATACCCCCAGCAACAGAGGCTAGGGAGCAGACATCCATCCCCAGGCAACACAAGCACAGACCAGAAGCAGAGACCCATCCCCAAAAAACTACAGCAAAAGATGAGCAGGAGTTGAGCCCCATGGAGCAGTAGCACTCCCCAGACGACAGCAGTGGGATCTGGGGCTCCAAAGAGGCCGATGCAGTCCAGTAGCCCACAAGAGCAGTGAGAGCCCAAGCCCGAGAGAGACTGGTGCGATCCAGCTGCCCGCCCGTGGGAACTGCAGGGTGCGGGAGCACCAGAGAGGCCTGTGCGACCCAGCAGGGACTATGTGATCCAGTTACCTGTGGGACCTGCGGGGTGCTGAAACACCAGAGAGGCCTGTGCAACCCAACAGAGACTGTGCCATCCAACTACCCACGGGACCAGTAGGGTGTTAAAGTTCCATAGAGGACTGTGCAACCCATAAGGGACTGTGCAATCTAGTTACCCACGGGACCTGTGGGGTGCTGAAGCACCAGAGAGGCCTGTGCGACCCAGCAGCCCATAACATAGGCATAAAACCGGGTCCCCAAAGGGACTTTGCGGACCAGTTACCCGCTGGACCTGCAGGGTTCTGGAGCACCAGAAAGGCCTGTGAGACCCAGCTGCATACAAGATAGGCTTAGAGGATGTGAAAATGGAGGCAGAGTGAATAGAAGCCATGCAGACGATCTCCCAGGACCAAACGGGAATTACAACTAAAATAAAGATGAATCCTCAGGAAAAAAGCAACAGAAAAGCAGCAGGACAGGACCATATAATCAGGGACACTGGTAGGATCTGTGGAGGCGCGAGAGGATGGCAGGCTGGGAATCCACAGACAGCAGCAGTCTTAGTGTGAGCAGCACCCTTGGGGAATAAAGACCAAACCCACTCCACAGCGCAGAGAGCCTGACAGAGAGTGGGATTAAAATAGCCACAGCCACTCACCTGGGGCTCTGGCAGAGGGAGGGCAGACTGGGCTGGAACTCTGTGGGGACACACGGGATTTGGAGGGGACTCAGAATTTTTTCCTGAGTTGCAGCCACAAAGAATGGTGGCCCGTGGGCTCTTTCCCTGAGCTATGGGGAAAAGTGCAGTCCCCCCGCCCCCAAGATTCAGCCTTTCCCAGGTGAGGCAAAGAAATGAAAATTTAGGCTCATTAACAACCAGCATCTATCCCACCCTCTGGAAATCCTCTTATGCAGAACACCAGGGTTACATTCCAAGCCACTGAGTTACTGAGACTACGAGCATCCAGAGAAAAGCTGGAGGATAACTGAACCTTTCCTGGGCTTGCAAATCTACCCAGGAAAGTAAGACTTGACAGTGGTGTTTAAAGTGGGCCTGCCCAGGCTCATCCAAACCCAGTAGAGGGAGCCACAAACAGGAGAACACCAATACGGACAGGGAAAATGTGGCAGGCTCCAAAACCCACTGAGACGGCCAAAATGGTGAAACAAAGAAACAAATCCCAAATGAAAGAACAAGAGAACTCTATTGAAGATGAGGTCAATGAAATGCACTTCAGAAAATTATCAGAGGTAGAGTTCAGAGCCATGATCTCGAGTAAACTCAACAGCATGAGTAAGGACATCAGCACAATGAGTAAAGATATAGAAACATTGAAAACCAACCAAATGGAAATGAAGAATGACATAGCAGAAATAAAGAACACATTGGGAGGACTAACCAACAGACTAGAGAAAGCTGAGGAACTGATCAGTGAATCAGAAGACAGGGTAAAAAAAAAACAACCAATCAGAAAACCAAAATGAAAAAACTATTAAAAAACAGGAAGACAGCTTCAGAGAACTGTGGGACAACTGGAATCGTAATAAAATTTGCATCATAGGAGTCCCTGAAGAAGAATATAATGGGCAAGGGTTAGAGAATATATTTTTTTAAATAGTGACAGAAAACTTTCCTAACTTGGTGAAGGAAGAAGGTATTCAAGTTCAAGAAGCACAAAGAGCCCTAAGTAAGAAGAACCCAAACAGGCCCACACCAATACATAGTAATCAAAATGCCAAAATTAAAGACACAGAGAGAATTCTAAAAGCAGCAAGAGATAAGCAACAGGTTACCTACAAAAGAAACACCATAAGGCTTTCAGCTGACTTCTCAACAGAAACACTACAGGCCAGAAGGGAGTGGCATGAAGTAATCAAGGTCATGAAAAACAAGAATCTGAATCCAAGACTACTCTATCCAGCAAGGCTATCATTCAAAATAGAAAGTCAAATAAAGAGCTTTCCAGACACACACAAAAAAGTCTAAGGGAATATATTAACACCAAACCAGCACTGCAAGATATGCTAAAAGGACTGCTGTAATTAGTAGAAGAAATAGGAAGAAAAATAGAACCACACTAAACAAAAATGACAATAAATAAGTACATATACATTATCACCTTAAATGTCAATGGTTTGAATGCTCTGATAAAAAGACACAGAGTAGCTGACTGGATAAGAAAGCATGTCTCATATATATGTTGTTTACAAGAGACCCACCTCACAACAAAAGACTCACATAGGTTAAAAGTGAAGGGATGAAAAAAAAATCTTCCAAGCAATCAGAAAGCAAAAAAAAAAAAAAAAAGCTGGGGTAGCAATACTCATATCTGATAAAGTAGATTTCAAAATGAAGGCCATACTAGAGACAAAGAAGGCCACTACATAATATTGAAAGGATCTATCCAACAGGAAGATATTACCTTGGTAAACATATATGCACCCAATATAGGAGCACCAACATATATTAAAAATCTTCTGGAGGACTTCAAAGAAGAAATCAAGAGCAATACAATCATAGCAGGGGACTTCAACACCCCGCTGACATCACTAGATAGATCCTCTAGACCAAAAAGTACAAGGAAACACAGACTCTAAATGAAGAGCTAGGTCAAATGGATTTAAAAGATATCTACAGAGAATTACACCCAAACACCGCAGAATTCATATTCTTTTCAAGTGTACATGGGATATTCTCAAAGATAGACCTCATGTTAGGACACAAACTAAGTCTCTACAAGTTCAAGAAGATTGAAGTCATATCAAGCATCTTCTCAGATCACAATGGCATGAAACTACAAATCAATTGCGACAAGAACATGCAAAGACATTTGAAAACATAGAGGCTAAATAGCATGTTATTGAACAATGAATGGGTTAGCATGGAGATCAAGGAAGAAATGAAAAACTTCCTGGAAACCAATGAAGATGAACACACAACAACACAAAATCTATTGGATGCAGCGAAAGCAGTTCTGAGAGAAAAGTTTATAGCAGTACAGACCTACCTCAAGAAGCAAGAAAAATTTCTAATAGACTATCTAACCTTAAAACTAAAAGAACTAGAAAGCAAATAAAAAGAAAACCCCAAGGCAAGTAGAAGGAAAGAAATAGTAAAGATCAGAGCAGAAATAAATGACATGGAGACCAAAGAAAAACAATTCAAAAAATAATGAAACAAAGAGCTGGTTCTTTGAAAAGATAAACAAGATTGATGGACCCTTAGCTAGACTCACCAAGAAACAAAGAGAGAGAACCCAAATACACAAAATCAGAAATGAAAAATGAGAAATAATAACTGACAACACAGAAATACAAAGGATTGTTAACAAATATTATGAATATTTAAATATTACAGCAAAAAATTTGACAATCTAAACGAAATGGACCAATTTCTAAAAACACATAGTCTCCCAAAACTGAACCGGGAAGAGATAGAAAACTTGAACAGACCAATAACAACTAAGGAAATTGAAAATGTAATCAAGACTCTCCCAGCAAACAAAAGCCCAGGCCTGGATGGCTTCACGGGGAAATTTTACTGAACATTCAAAAAAGAACTAATACCCATTCTCCTCAAACTATTTCAAAAAATTCAAGAAGAAGGAAGACTTCCAAACTCGTTTTATGAGCCCAGCATAATTCTAATTCCAAAACCAGAAAAAGACACTACAA